AGATTGATAAGGTTAATAGATTTCTAGTCAAATTAATCAAAAAGATAGTGAAAAATTACAAAGATCTAATACTAAATGACAAAGGAAATCATATTAAAGATACTGCAGATAATAAAGATACAGTAAATAGATGTCATGGAGAACACCTAGCCAATAAGTTTCAAATTTTAAATGAAACAGACTGTCAAAGTCAACAGAAGAACATCAATGTCACTAAGTATCTTGTCACAAAAAAACAAAGTCCAGGTTCCCCCCAGGCCTATTGATCACAAGATCCAGGGACAGAGTGCTAGAAATTGTGTTTTAAGAAACCACCAGCGGTGGGCTTGTGATGTGGCTCAGTAGTAGAGTTCTTGCATGCACAAGGCCCTGGCTTCCATCCCCAGACCACAAAAAAAAAAAAAGAAGAAACCCTTGGGGTGATCTGGTGACCCTGAAGTTTGAGAACTGCAAAAGCTGTGTCTTGGAAACAACCCAAATATCCAACAATCAATGAATGGATTAAAAAAAAAATGTGACACTTTTTATATAATGGAGTACTCCTCTGCATAAAGAAGGGTAAACTTGAGACATTTATTGGTAATTGGATGGATCTTGAGATCATACTCAAATGAAATAAATCAGATACGTGTAAGTATTGCATTGTCTCACTGGTGTGAGAAACTGAACATGTAAATAAGAACCAAATTGTACAAGAGATATGGTGAAATGGAAACAAACTGTTCAAAAAGATAGGGGAACTAGGGAGGGAAGGAAGGGAAAAGAAAAAATGAACAAAGGAGGATAAAATAGAAACAAATCTTTGTAAATAAGAAAGTGTTGATGGGAGAGGAGGGGAATGGAAGGAAAAAAAGTCAAAGTGTCTCCATACACTGTATTTATGCCAATGTAAAACTCTGTGGGAAATTATTTTCTCAAAGTATTGTGGATGATTATTATGAACAAAATAAATGAGGTAAGGTAATGTTACACTGTACAGATACAAATTTCCTACAATGAATGTGATCATTGTATATACCTAAATTGTATCAATAAACTTAAATAAATAAATACATTTCCACAACAAATTGCACTCAATTTGAACATATGTAAATGGGTAACTACTCTCAGTGTTTACTGTCAGGATTAAATAAATGGTCTCTATTGCAAACAAAAAGTCATTCTTTAAAAGATACGTGCACAGCATAAATGGAACTTGTGTTTGTCAAAATATAATTAACATGCCTCTTTAATAATTTAAAGAAATGTATATTCTACATGAGAAGTGAAATATCCATTATTAAAAACTGCTTTAAAATACTTTAAAACATTTCATATAAATGTTAGGGAGATTTTTTTATTTGCAATTTACTACTAATGAAATGTCTTTATATTATTTTGCTTATTATTACAATAACATATTATTCAGCTCAAACAACCTTATTATTGTTCTCAGATTATTATTTTATACTAGGATTTTTAAATTCATCAGAATTGTTTTAAGTTTGAAAGTGCATTTCGGTAGCACATGTACTCAAAGTACATTTCAAGACCACCTTCATGACTCTAACATAATGCTCAGAATTAAAGTCATGTTTCAGAATCACAAAATTTTCTCCTATTCTATTTGTTTCACTCAGATTTATTTATCTACTCACTATCTACACATCTATTATATAAAATAACAGACTTCCAGAGAAAAGCTCAGTAAACATGCACAGTAGTCAAGTTCAATTGTAAACAATCACAAAACAAACTTTAAAGCATTTATGCCAATGTAAAACTCTGTGGGAAATTGTTTTCTCAAAGTATTGTGGGTGATTATTATGAACAAAATAAATGAGGTAAGGTAATGTTACAATAATGATCTGGAACTGTGACTCAAATGAGTAAGATTAGAGGCACAAAGAAACTCTTCCTAATAAACAAGCAGATAACTGCTGGAAAGAAAAATATGCTCCTTGTTTGAAATTAACTGCCAAACATTTCCAACCTACACAAAGCTGTCATAAAGGACATCTAAATCTGTCCTTGTTTGTAACATGTGTTATGACAAGATTTGACAGTTTATCAAAGAACTATAATTGCCACCTAAACATCTAGCATTTTGTCAACTGCAAGCATGTTTAGCGAAAGCATTTACTTTGCTTAAAATACAACCATTTTTCTCTACTTTCTGAAAGAGCTGACTGAATTTCTTTTCTCAGCTGATCAAGCTGTATTAGGGCTTTCTTTGAATTATTTATGATGGAATTGTAATGGGTAAAAGAATAATCAGTAAAGCAAAAAATTGTTACTAAAGATATATAGATATATATAATATATATAATGTATTCTGGGTATTGACTCAAAAGACCTTCAAATTGCAACAATTCTCACAGCTCTGTAGAGATGACATTTAAATACGCTTGCCTTGGGAAGGAGAAAGATAAGACATTTTCTCTCTACCACAATTTTCCTTTTCAGAGTAATCTATTGAGAAACAGTGTCCTAAAAAGAGAGATATGTTCTTCAATAGGCATTATTCCTACCTGTAATCTTTGTCAGAGACAGTCAGTGATAAGACAGACTCTCAACCTACAGAGAATAAAATAAACAAGAGCTAAATTCTCTTGCAATAGAATCAGAAAACAGAAATGGCAGAATAACAATGATAGTCTATGACATTACTAATAGTTTATTTCTGGAAATTGTAGTTTTTTTTAAGAAAGAATTTTCAGTTTCATGTTTGTTCTTTGTTGTAGTTACTTGATATGAGAGAAAAATACTATGCAAATATTTCTGCACTACTTTTTAAAGTTTTCCTTCATTCCAATAAATCTCAAAGGAAAAAAAGTTCTAAAGTGATGTAGCATATAAAGTCACATGGAAATTCAGGAATCCCACATGCTAATCCATATCTTGCCTCTCACTGGGCAATAGGTTGTTTCTCTGGACTTAGTTCCCTATGTCTGAATTGAGCTATTGCTATGACTTGGTGATCTCTCAGGCTGTTTCAAACTTTTGTGATTCTGTACAATCCCTGGATCTATGAGGTACAGCAACAGCTAGAGCATGGAGGAAAAACAGCAGCAAGACAAAAATGTCTCCTACGTAACATCTCAAGAAAAAAAGGTACCAACTATGGGCTTTCAGTGTTTACATTAGTATTTAGTCTTATTTAGGTAGTATTAAATCTACTTAAAAATCTGTTTTGATTTTCATTAAAAACTGAAAAATGTGTGACACATTGAGAACACTAAAAGAAAAATCGATTTAGTTGAAGCTCCAAATACTTTATAGTGCTTCTAAATTAAGCCACAGGATTTTCTTTAGAAATCACTGTAGGTAGTCCGGTCTAGGATGAATTATATGGATAGATGGTTCTGTTAGTTTTTGATAGGAAAGAACACAAATGAAGGGTTGTGTATAGAACACAGCTCCCATACACTGTCAACCATGAAGAAACTGAGTACGTTGATATCAAGAGACATGTGACTGAATCACCAACAAGTCATTTTGATATAGTATTTTAGGTGTTTTTATGGCTTTATAGCAATAGCTCATTCAATATATAAAAGCATTTTTTATAGCCAAGTAATGCGTTTCACAGACATTACTGAATCTTACCCAGTCCTGTTGCCAATTCCGTACCCAACTCCTGAGTTTAATCCACAGACTCAAACCACTAAGGAAGCTCAGAAATTGTGTAAACAGATATATTCAACAATTATTAGGTTGGGCTGGGGATTTAGCTCAGTGGCACAGCACCTGCCTGGCAAGTGTGAGGTCATGAGTTCGATCCCCAGTACTGGAAAAAAAAAAATTATTAGGTAATTTCAAAATTATGATGATGATTTTGTTTGTGGCTAAACAAAAAAAAAAATTCTGCACTACTGCATGTAATTAGCAAGATATGAATGTATAATCTGTGACTGATGCTTCCATCATATTTATGAAATAGCCCACTCACTGTTGAAATCTTTGGCATCTATGGTCCTTCTTCCTTCCCCACTACTCCAACCTGAAATACCTTGTGGAAGCTGTATACTTAAAATCCACAATCAAATGATTAACACATATGTTTTATTCATCTTTTTATTATAAAAATAATAAAAATTCAATACTACACTAATAGTTGGCAGTATAATGTAGTAGTCCTTCATTTTGAACTCCCCACAAACTATACCCCTCTTCAAAGGTAATCATTATAAAAGGGACATCTATACTTGATACCTGGAATATTACATAATTTAAATATGTAAATAAAATACTATGCATATTTTTGTGACTACCTTTTTTGTCTTTAAAAAATATCTTGTGACATTTTCATCTCATTTTATATAAATCAATCTCTTCAATGGTTGCATCAGATGGACAATAAATTATTTGATAATTTACTTACTGATCAACAATTGCTAGTTTCCTCGATTTCACATTTATAAACAATTCAGGTGTGTTTACTGGTCATTTGTACTATCTTATACCCTAGAGGTAGTATATAACCTTACATATAAGAGATACAGAATATTTGTTGAGTGACTTGATACAACAGCAAACATCATTATCAATATTTTTGTTTGGTGCTTGTGAATATTTCTTTGAAAAGAATGCCTAGAATTAGAAATGATGACTCAAAGTTCATGTGGAAAATTACTCTTGCAAGACCTATATGTTTACACATTCTATCAGAAGGCATTCTCTATCTTATAATTTCAATTTGTGTGGAAAAAAATTAGCATTTTCTTGATTACTAGCATTTTTTCATATGTTTATTGGCCAATTATTTTTCCTGTTCATTGTTTTTTGGTTTTTTTTTTTTTTTTTTTTTTGGTTTTTCTCCGGTACCGGGAACCGAACTCACGACCTTGCGCTTGCCAGGCATGCGCTTTGCCGCTGAGCTAAATCCCCAGCCCCTCCTGTTCATTGTTTACGTACACATTTCCCAAACCTTGTTCATCTCTCCACCCCGAGGCGCTGTTGAAGGAATTCTGTCTAAGATAACACTCTCACATACTTTCTCCAGTCTGTAACTTACCTTTTAAACTTGTGTGTTCGCGCTTTGTGGAAATGTTTTTATGTATTCAAACTGGTTTAAGAAGTCCTAGGAAATGAATAAAAGCATTGATAATAGTACCAATAATAATAATTCCGTGGACTGGAAAGCACTGACTCTTTAATTTAGAAGTATGTAGCGCACGCGAAAAACAAACTCTGAAGAAAAACATTGCAAAACAACCCCGTTACCTATAGCACTGCGCATGCGCACCAGAAAGACCCGTAACTGCCTGGAAACAACCGGAAGTCATTAGAGTCTGTGGCCTGACTTCCGTTTCAGTTTCGCCGGTAGCCGCGGCCAGTGGCGTAGGCTTTCCTGAGGTGTTTGACCAAAATGCCGAATATCAAAATCTTCAGCGGCAGCTCCCACCAGGATTTATCCCAGAAAATTGCCGACCGCCTGGGCCTGGAGCTAGGTAAGGTGGTGACTAAGAAATTCAGTAACCAGGAGACGTGTGTGGAAATTGGCGAGAGTGTGCGTGGCGAGGACGTGTACATCGTCCAGAGTGGGTGTGGCGAAATCAACGACGGTCTGATGGAGCTTTTGATCATGATTAACGCCTGCAAGATTGCTTCTGCCAGCCGCGTGACGGCGGTCATCCCGTGCTTCCCCTACGCACGGCAGGATAAGAAGGATAAGAGCAGGGCCCCGATCTCTGCTAAGCTCGTTGCCAATATGCTGTCCATAGCAGGCGCAGATCACATCATCACCATGGACCTACATGCTTCCCAGATTCAGGGCTTTTTTGATATCCCGGTAGACAATTTGTACGCGGAACCGGCTGTCCTGAAGTGGATCAGAGAGAATATTCCCGAGTGGAGAAACTGCATTGTTGTCTCGCCTGACGCTGGCGGAGCGAAAAGAGTCACGTCCATAGCAGACCGCTTGAATGTGGACTTTGCCTTGATTCATAAAGAACGGAAGAAGGCCAATGAAGTGGACCGTATGGTGCTGGTGGGAGACGTGAAGGATCGGGTGGCCATCCTTGTGGATGACATGGCTGATACTTGTGGAACAATCTGCCACGCAGCTGACAAACTTGCCTCGGCTGGGGCCACCAGAATTTATGCGATCTTGACACACGGAATCTTTTCTGGCCCGGCCATTGCTCGCATCGACAGTGCATGCTTTGAAGCAGTGGTAGTCACCAATACCATACCTCAGGAAGATAAGATGAAGCACTGCTCCAAAATACAGGTGATCGACATCTCCATGATTCTTGCAGAAGCCATCCGGAGAACTCACAATGGGGAATCTGTTTCCTACCTGTTCAGCCATGTTCCTTTGTAACAGAATAACATAGGTTATTCTATTTTAAAATAAAATAAGGTAAAAGAAAATAAACCTTGCCCGGCACAGTATTTTTACCTTGCTATTTCATGAAAACGTCATCAGAAGACCAAGTTTGCTCCAGGGTGGCTTTCTACATCCTGTTATCAGGTACATTGATGTTTATCTTAAATTGGGGAAAGGCGGATTGAGAACTGGCCGGGTAACCTGGCCAGGTTGTCTCATTCTCGGCTTTTTGATGATTTTGTTAGCCCTTCAGTTTTAACTAGAGCCCAGATGCTGCAAGACTTCAGACCATGCCGGGGATATAGCTCAGCGGCACAAGCGCCTGCCTAGCAAGCGTAAGGTCCTGAGTTCGATTCCTGGTGCCAAAAAAAAAAAAAGACTTCAGACCTGGAAATATTTGAAACACACCAATGTGTTACAGGTTCTCCAAGGTCTGTGCTACATTTCAGAGAGAATCATTGGAAACCCTAAGAGTAGTTCTCCTGCTTGCTGAACTCAAAAAATAGCAAGGGCGGCTAGGCATGGTGGGGCGGCCGGGATGGTGGGGCATGCCTACAATCCCAGCACTTAGGAGACTGAAGCAAGAGGGTTGTCCAAGTTCAAGGCCAGCCAAGGCTGCATAGTCCAGGCAAGCCTGGACTACGTATACAGTGAGACCCTGTCTCAAAAAAAAAAAAAAAAAGGCAAGGGCAAGCAGCTTTTGTCTTAAGCAGGCATTGGGATCTTAGGAGGCAGCAAATGCTGCTTGAGAAGATGACTAATGTAGCATCATCTATTTGGAAACTATCCTGGTCTCTTAGCTTTACTCCCAAGTGTCTTTACTGTTTCCTACCCAAATACCCAATTGAGCCGAAATAATATGCTGTAGTTTTCTAGAAAGCAAACTTCCTGCTATGTAATGTCTAATAGTTACACTAGATGTTTTTGCTGTAGCTTAATCTCTATTTGTTTAATATCACCATAGTACTGTAGTAGCATTATAGTACCTTTTGATTAATTAAATATTTCATTTTCATCTTCCTACCTGTTTTGATTGGCTTCTCAAATGACCTGGGAAATTTTTAAGTGATGTTATTATCTCTCATAAAGGAAACAAATAAAAAATCTGTATATGTATGTGGAAAGAAAAAGGCACCAGTCCTAGCAGGTGAAATTTTCAGCTCTTAAAGGAAATAGAGTTCCTACAGGGTAAAACAAAAATATGAAGTTATTCTTATTGCTGTCAGACTTCTCATTTGAACTACTAGATGATAAGCAAATTGAATAATTTATTTGCAGTTCTAAAGGAATATTATGCTAAGCATGGTGGTGAAAGCCTATAACCCTATAACTTGGAAAGCTGGGGCAGGAGGATTTCTGTCAGTCTGAACTGCATAGCAAGACTATATCTAAAAAATACATATATCTATGTATATATATATAAATTTATATGTTTATAATATTTTTGTACCCAATCATTCAAATTTGAAGGCCATACTAAGACATTTTTAAAAAATTTTTCAAAGACTACAAAATTTATCTTCATGGATGCTTTTCGTGAAAGTATTACCCAAAATTAATAGAGATAAAAACATATATACCACCAAAAATACATGAAATAAAAGTGATGATTATAAAAAGTGAAACTGGTAGAAAAAATAATTTTCATGAAGTTATGAAGATTATGGTAGATAATAAGATTCAGCATATGCTATCACAACAAAATAGATTAATCTCCTAGACAAAGTTATGAAGATTATGGCAGATAATAAGATTCAGTATATGCTATCACAGCAAAATACATTAATTTAATCTCTTAGACAAATTATTATAGTGAGTAGTAGACACAATCTCAAAATATACTGTTTATAAGACATATCTGTAAAACAGCCAGGTGTGGTGTTGCATTCCTGTAATCCCAGCACTCAGGAGGCTGAGACAGGAGGATCGCTGTGAGTACAAGGTCAGCCAGTACTACAAAGTAAGTTCAAGACCAACCTGAACTGCATAGTAAAACCTTGTCTTAAAAAGACAAAAAAAAAAAAAAAAAAAGTAAAAAAAAATTGGATATAAAAGAATGAAGAAAAAAATATACCAAGAAGAAAGAAAAAAAACTTTCAGTCAAAAGTGAAATGTATTTTGCTAATTAAACTAACCAATATGTTACAAGCATCGTGAACTTTTTTTTTTAAGATAGGATTCTTAGTATGTTGCCTGAGGATGGCCTCAGACTCTCAATCCTCCTTCCTCAGCCTGCAAGGGAGCTGCAGTTATAGGAATTTATCCACCATGACTAGTTTACTATCATGAATCTATATGCACATAAAACAACAACATCAAAATTTTAAAAACAGTACAATATAAGGAGAAATGGATTATATGCAATCATTATAATCATTAGAGGGAAATTTTGACAAAACTCATAATAAAAGATACAGGCTTGAAATTATATAGAAATTAAAAATTCACATTTATAAGCATGCATGAAGTATATATAAATATTGAAAATATAATAGGTCATAAAAAATCTTGAGAAGTTTCTAAGAAAGAATTTACAGTACATTGACCATATGTAGTAAATTGGCTTTACTATAATCATTTTGGCAATATTGGGGGCGACAATAAAGCTCAGTAAAATAGAAATAAAACAAAGTTTACTTGACATGGTAAAATCCACTGAGACCTTTGAAGATATATCCAATGATAAACTATTGGAAACATTTCTATTAAAAACAAATTTTTAAGTCAATGATAAGGAGCAGAGAGAAAGAGCCAGTAGCAGTAGCAGAAAAACTTTTATTTGCAGATGTCATGATTGTCAAGAAAACAATCCAGCAACCAAAATTATCAGAATTCTAAAGAGTGAGTCCAGTGACTGAATGTAAGATAAATCATTGTCTTTCCTAAACAGAAGCAAAATATAATTTAAAAACATAGCTGAAATGTTTACATAGCATACAGCAATAAAAATTATGACTAGTACTAAACTCCAAAACTGTAGAATTTGTGTGATAAAACATTTATTAAACAATATAGAAAATACTTGAGTAAATACATTATGAACATAGGTAGAAAAAACATTACAAACCTGATGGTTTTCTCAAACCATCTAGTCAGTGTAAACCTAATTGAGATCCTAACAGGATTTGTTTTTAGAAAGAGAACTTGACAAGCTTTTCCTTAAAGTTCATCTGGAAAACTAAGCAAAAAAAGTCAAGATCTTTTTGAAAAAAAAATGTATCACAATATATAAAATGTAAAGTTACAGTAGTGAAATGTGGTATTGATGCAGGATTGGATACATAATATTGTAGAGTTTAGATTCCTGAAACAGGCCTATGTGTACTTACTGGAATTAGTACATACAGGCCCTATTTAATGGAGGGACTGTTACTGGAAAGAGGCACATAACTGAATCAACTCTATAGGAGAATCACTATCATAGAGTCCCTGTGGAGATGCTTTCCTGATATCCTGCCTTGGCAACCATTCCTGCAGTCTACTCAGATTCTCTGAAGTGGGGAATGACCTCTTACCAATGTTTCTTGCTATCTCCATAATTGGAGCTCTATCCAGATCATAGTCATAGTTATGATGGGCTCCTTAATGTCTGTCAATATCAATGTCTAGCATCTTGATGATTTTAACCTTCTCCTTCTTTGGTATATGTGTGTATATATCTATCTGCTCCAGGAGATTACAGAGAGACAGAGACAGAGGCAGAATTTTACAAAAAAAGGCATTAAATCAAATATATATATATATGTGTGTGTGTGTGTGTGTGTGTGTGTCACAGGTAACTAATGCACTAATCAATTAATGGTGCTGAAAAATTGGATATTACTTGGGAAACCAAAGTTATTTTACCTCATCTGTAAATGATGCACAAAATAATTCCAGAAAGAATGCTTCTAAAAAGCAGATTTGAAAGCACTGGAAGAAAAGGTGAAGTAATTTTTATGCTCTTACAATTGGAACATCCTTCTTAAGAAGTATATAAAACCCACAACTCATAAGACTGAGACATGACTTCTGGGATTCCACAGGTGGGAATGGGGTGATAGAGACATTCAGGTGCAAATGTATGCTGCTTTTGAGAGAAAGGAAATTGACACCAAGGTAGAGCTGTGAAGAGTGCTGCAGAAGCCACTGAAGGTAGCCTAGAAGCTGGCTGAGCTGTTGCCATGGGCTGAGACTGATGAAGTCTTGCTGCAAGGCTACAGGCTGCATATGTGGTCCTCGATGGAGGAGAACTGTCTTAGTCCATTTGGGCTTCTATAACAAACTACCTTAGTTCGGATGGCTTTGAAATTTATTTTTCATAATTCTAGCAGATAAATCCAAGATGAAGGTGATGGCAGATTCTGTAGTTAGTGAGGATCCCTTCCTGATTAATGGACCTCTGTCTTCTTATTGTGTCTCCAGATACCAGAGAGGTGAGGGAAGTCTCAGGAGTCTCTTATAAAAGTAGTAAAAGAAGATAGCACTTTGTTGATTTGAGAGATTCTTGGCCTTGCTAGATTGCAAAGGATGCTAAATTTAGGAAATTTATTGCTGGGAAAGCATGCTGTGAATAGAAAGCCAAGGGTGTGTCTGGATATCCTGTTGCTGAAGAAATTAGGTGTGCAACTTGTGATCCAACCAGCCATCACAGCAAAAGGTAGTAATAGAGACTAAATAGGCTAAATAGAGTTCTAAATAATCAGTTATGATACGCTTTGGTTTATTATTTAAAATTGATATAAATCCTACCTGAGGAAGGGTACACCCAACAATAACTAGATGTCTTAAAATACCAACCTAAGAATATTTTATTTACTTAAAAAAGCAATGAGAGCTCGTGTAGCTTTTTCAGTAGTTGACTGATGAGATGGAAATAGCACTTAATTCAGCAGCAGTGTGAAAATTGAACTGTACTGGAAAGACTACAACTAGGAGACAAAATGTATCTGAGTAGGTTCCATTTTAAGACATATAAGTGTGTATAAATATATTTATGTGCAAATATATATGTTTATAGCAACAAAGCCTACATTTTCCTAATCCCTAATGCACATAAGAATTGTTTACAGGAATTTAATATGAGTGTAAATGTCTGAATGTAATGCTGACAGTATCTCTTATCAGGTGACATGATTAATGATGTTTTCCTCAGAGTGGCTTCAGTTAGTGTTTATTAAAATGCTTCCCAAATACTAATGCTATTTCAGAGATGCAGTCAGATGATTATACTTACGAGCACCATGCAAGACTTAGCAAAGATAAGGCAGTG